TTTTTTCCTAAATTTTCTCAATTTTTCTGTGATTTTTTCCCTATTTTTTTCTGATTTTTCCCTAATTTTTCCCTCAATTTTCTCAATCTTTCTGTGATTTTTCCCTATTTTTTTCTGATTTTTTCCCGATTTTTTTCCTAGATTTTCTGATTTTTTTTCTGATTTTTTCCCGATTTTTTCCTCAATTTTCTGAATTTTTCTGTGATTTTTTCCCTATTTTTTCTGAGTTTTCCCTATTTTTTCCTCAATTTTCCTTATTTTTCTGTGATTTTTTCCCTATTTTTTTCTGATTTTTTCCTTATTTTTCCCTCAATTTTCTCAATTTTTCTGTGATCTTTCCCTAATTTTTTCTGATTTTTTCCCTATTTTTTTCCTCAATTTTCCTTATTTTTCTGTGATTTTTTTTCCCTATTTTTTTCAATTTTCTGAAATTTTTTCTGATTTTTTCCTTATTTTTTCCTCAATTTTCTGATTTTTTTTCTGATTTTTTCCCTATTTTTTTCCTCAATATTTTCCTTATTTTTCTGTGATTTTTTCCCTATTTTTTTCTGATTTTTTCCCGATTTTTTCCTCAATTTTCCTTATTTTTCTGTGATTTTTTCCCTATTTTTTCCTCAATTTTCTGATTTTTTTCTGATTTTTTCCCGATTTTTTCCCTCAATTTTCTCAATTTTTCTGTGATTTTTCCCGATTTTTTTCTGATTTTTCCCGGTTTTTTTCTCAATTTTCCTTATTTTTCTGTGATTTTTTCCCTATTTTTTTCCTCAATTTTCTGAATTTTTCTGTGATTTTTTCCCGATTTTTTTCTGATTTTTTCCCTATTTTTTCCCTCAATTTTCCTTATTTTTCTGTGATTTTTTCCCTTTTTTTTCCTCAATTTTCTGATTTTTTTCTGATTTTTTCCCGATTTTTTTCTCAATTTTCTGAATTTTTCTGTGATTTTTTTCCCTATTTTTTCTGATTTTTTCCTTATTTTTTCCTCAATTTTTTCTGTGAAGTTTTCCCGATTTTTTCCTCAATTTTTCTGAATTTTTTTCTGATGTTTTCCTTATTTTTCCTCAATTTTCTGAATTTTTCTGTGATTTTTCCCCTATTTTTTCCCTATTTTTCCCCTATTTTCCATCAATTTTTCCTTCTTTTTCCCTTAATTTTCCTTTTCCCCCCAATTTTCTCATTTTTTAAAAGAAATCACAAAAAAAAATGAATATTTTGATCCAAAAAATAAATATTTTGATCCACAAAAAAAAATTGAAAAAATAAATATTATTTTGAACTAAAACAAAAATTCGAAAAAATTAATATTTTTATTTCCCAAAATGATTAAAAAAATTTGAATATTTTGGTCCAAAAATTCCAAATAGTAAATATTTTGCTCAAAAAAAAAAAATCCAAAAATTAAATTTTTTATTTTTAAAATATTCCAAAAAAGAAAAATTTTTAATTAAATAAATTTTTTAAAATGAAATATTTTTTAATATTTTGATTAAACTATTTTTATAATTTTTATTTTTATAATTTTTATTTTTATAATTTTTTAAAAAATTAAATATTTTTATATTTATTAAATATTTCGATTAAATTTTATTAAATATAATGTTATTAAATTTTTAAAAATCGAAAAAAAAATCAATATTTTGACCCCAAAAATAGGAAAAAAAATCTCGATATTTTATTTTAAAAAATAAAATAAAAAATGAATATTTTAATTTGAAAAATTTGGGGAAAAAAAAAAAGGAATAATAATTTTAAAAAAATTCCAAATACTGAATATTTTAACCCAAAAAAAAAAAAATCAGAAAAATTATTCCTTTTAACCAAATAATCAGGAAAAAAATTTCTATTTTTAAAATTTAAAAAATTTCTCTTTTTAAAACTCAAAAAAATTTTTTTTATTTAAAAAAATTAAATATTTTTATTGAAAAAAAAATTGAAAAATATGAATATTTGATCAAAAAAATCCCCCCAAACCCCCCATTTTAACCCCCAAAAATCCCATTTTAACCCAAAAAAAATCCCCAAAATTCCCAATCCCCAAAATTCCCGAAAAACCTTTGGAATTTTTTTTTTTTCCCACTGACCCGTCACGAGGTACCAGAGGTTGGTGGGTTCCAACGTTTCCATCTCCCCTTTCCGCCCCGTTTTCCGGTGCCTGATCCGATAACCCGTCAGGAATCCGTTCTGGGAATCACCAGGAGGGGGCAACCAACTCACTTTGATGCTCTGGGGAAAAAAAAAAATTGGGAATTTTTGGGAATTTTTGGGGATTTTGGGATTTTTCGGGGAATTTTTGGGGGTAAAAAAAGGTGAAAAATTGAATTTATTTCGTAATTTTAGGGATTTTCTTCCTGTTTTTAAGGAGGAAAAAATTAATCTTAATTTTCCTGGAATTTTTGGGAATTTTTTGGGAATTTTTGGAATTTTTCTGGAATTTTGGGGTAAAAAAAATGTTAAAAAAAGGTGAAAAATTGAATTTATTTCATAATTTTAGGGATTTTCTTCCTGGAATTTTTAAGGAGGAAAAAATTGATCTTAATTTTCCTGGAATTTTTTCTTGGAATTTTTGGGAATTTTTTTTGGAATTTTGGGGAATTTTTTGGGGAATTTTGGGGTAAAAAAAAGGTGGAAAATTGAATTTATTTCATAATTTGGGGGATTTTCCTGCTTGGTTTTAGAGGGAAAAATTAATCCTAATTTTCCTGGAATTTTTCCTTGGAATATCCCAAAGATTCCCAGGAATTTTTTGAATTTTTTTTTGGAATTTGGGGGTAAAAAAAATGTTAAAAAAAGGTGAAAATTTGAATTTATTTCATAATTTTAGGGATTTTTCTGCTGTTTTTAAGGGGGAAATTTTAATCCTAATTTTCCTGGAATTTTTTCTTGGAATTTTGGGGAATTTTTTGGGATTTTTTGGGGAATTTTTTAGGGAATTTTGGGGGTAAAAAAAATGTTAAAAAAAGGTGAAAAATTGAATTTATTTCATAATTTTAGGGATTTTCTTCCTGTTTTTAAGGGGGAAAATTTATTCCTGTTTTTCCTGGAATTTTTTCTTGGAATATCCCAGGAATTTTTGGGAATTTTGGGGGAATTTTTGGGAATTTTTTGGAGGAAAAAAACGAATTAAAAAAGGGGGGAAATTGAGTTTATTTTGGAATTTATTTTGGAATTCCCGGGATTTTCCTGCTGGTTTTTAGGAGGAAAAATTAATCCTGTTTTTCCTGGAATTTTTGGGATTTTTGGGGAATTTTGGGGGAATTTTTGGGGAATTTTTGGGGAATTTTTGGGGAATTTTTGGGGAATTTTGGCAGAAAAAAGGGTTAAAAAAGGTGAAAAATTGAATTTATTTCATAATTTTGGGGATTTTCCTGCTGGGTTTTCGGAGGAAAAATTAATCCTGTTTTTCCTGGAATTTGGGGGAATTTGGGGGGAATTTTTTGGGGAATTTTTTGGGAATTTTTTGGGAATTTTGGCGGAAAAAAGGGTTAAAAAAGGTGAAAAATTAAATTTATTTCATAATTTTGGGGATTTTCCTGCTGGTTTTTGGGAGGAAAAATTAATCCTGATTTTCCTGGAATTTTGGAAAATTTTTTGGGAATTTTTTGGGAATTTTTTGGGAATTTTTTGGGAATTTTGGCGGAAAAAAGGGTTAAAAAAGGTGAGAAATTGAATTTATTTCATAATTTTAGGGATTTTCTTCCTGTTTTTAAGGGGGGAAATTTATTCCTGTTTTTCCTGGAATTTTTTCTTGGAATATCCCAAGAATTTTGGAAATTTTGGGGAATTTTGAGGGCATTTTTTTTTAGTTTTGGGGGAAAAAAAAAAGTTAAAAAAAAGGTGAAAAATTGAATTTATTTCATAATTTTAGGGATTTTCCTGCTGTTTTTTGGGAGGAAAAATTAATCTTAATTTTTCTGGAATTTTTGAGAATTTTTTGGGAATTTTTGGGGAATTTTTGGGGACTTTTTGGGGAATTTTGGCAGAAAAAAAGGGTTAAAAAAGGTGAAAAATTGAATTTATTTCATAATTTTAGGGATTTTCCTGCTGGGTTTTGAGAGGAAAAATTAATCCTGTTTTTTCTGGATTTTTTTCTTGGAATATCCCAAAGATTCCCAGGAATTTGGGGGAATTTTTTGGGAATTTTTGGGGAATTTTTTGGAGAAAAAACGAATTAAAAAAGAGGGAAAATTGAGTTTATTTTGGAATTTATTTTGGAATTCCCGGGATTTTCCTGCTGGTTTTTAGGAGGAAAAATTAATCCTGTTTTTCCTGGAATTTTTGGGATTTTTGGGGAATTTTTGGGGAATTTTTGGGGGAATTTTTTGGGGAATTTTGGGGAATTTTGGGTGAAAAAAATTAATTAAAACGGGGGGGGGAAATGGAGGAATTCCAAGGAATTCCAAGACTTACCCGGGAATTCACCACTTCCAAGGAAAGATTCCGGGGAGGAGCGCTGGGAACTGGGAGGGGAAAAAAAAAAGTGGGAAAAAATTCCATTAAAATGAGAAAAAATGGGAAAAAAATGGGAAAAAATTCCCCTCCCCCCACCCTTTGGAAAAGAACCCTGGAATTCCAGGAATTCCTTGAAGGAATTCCCCAAAAATCCCAATTCCAGGAATTCCTGGAATTCCCCCAAAAAATGGGATTTAAATCCCAAATTCCCCCCCAAAAATCCCAAATTCCCGATTTTCCTGGAAAAATCCCCAATTCCCAATTTTTTTGGAAAAATCCCCCTGGAATTCCAGGAATTCCCAGGTTTTTAGGGATTTTTTGGGAAGAAATTCCCAAAAAATTCCAGGAATTCCAGGAATTCCCAAAAAATGGGATTTGGATCCCAAATTCCCAAAGGAAATCCCAAATTCCTGATTTTTCTGGAAAAATCCCCCTGGAATTCCAGGAATTCCCAGTTTTTAGGGATTTATTGGGAAGGAATTCCCAAAAAATGGGATTTGGATCCCAAATTCCCAAAGGAAATCCCAAATTCCCGATTTTTCTGGGAATTTCCCCCTGGAATTCCAGGAATTCCCAGATTTTTAGGGATTTATTGGGAAAGAATTCCCAAAAAATTCCAGGAATTCCCAAAAAATGGGATTTGGATTCCAAATTCCCAAAGGAAATCCCAAATTCCAGATTTTTCTGGGAATTTCCACCTGGAATTCCAGGAATTCCCAAAAAATGGGATTTGGATCCCAAATTCCCAAAGGAAATCCCAAATTCCCGATTTTTCTGGGAATTTCCACCTGGAATTCCAGGAATTCCCATTTTTTAGGGATTTATTGGGAAGGAATTCCCAAAAAGTCCAGGAATTCCAGGAATTCCCAAAAAAATGGGATTTGGATCCCAAATTCCCAAAGGAAATCCCAAATTCCCGATTTTTCTGGGAATTTCCACCTGGAATTCCAGGAATTCCCATTTTTTAGGGATTTATTGGGAAGGAATTCCCAAAAAATTCCAGGAATTCCAGGAATTCCCAAAAAATGGGATTTAAATCCCAAATTCCCCAAGGAAATCCCAAATTCCTGATTTTCCTGGGAATTTCCACCTGGAATTCCAGGAATTCCCAGTTTTTAAGGGATTTATTGGGAAGGAATTCCCAAAATTTCCAGGAATTCCAGGAATTCCAAAAAAAATGGGATTTGGAGCTCAAAATTCCCAATTTTTTTCCTTGGGAAAAATCCCCCTGGAATTCCTGGAATTCCCATTTTTTAGGGATTTATTGGGAAGGAATTCCCAAAAAATTCCAGGAATTCCAGGAATACCCAAAAAATGGGATTTGGATCCCAAATTCCCAAAGGAAATCCCAAATTCCAGATTTTTCTGGGAATTTCCACCTGGAATTCCAGGAATTCCCAAAAAATGGGATTTGGATCCCAAATTCCCAAAGGAAATCCCAAATTCCCGATTTTCCTGGGAATTTCCCCCTGGAATTCCAGGAATTCCCAGTTTTTAGGGATTTATTGGGAAGGAATTCCCAAAAAATTCTGGGAATTCCAGGAATTCCCAAAAAATGGGATTTGGAGCTCAAAATTCCCGATTTTTTTTCCTTGGGAAAAATCCCCCTGGAATTCCTGGAATTCCCAGATTTTTAGGGATTTATTGGGAAAGAATTCCCAAAAAATTCCAGGAATTCCCAAAAAATGGGATTTGGATCCCAAATTCCCAAAGGAAATCCCAAATTCCCGATTTTTCTGGGAATTTCCCCCTGGAATTCCAGGAATTCCCAAAAAATGGGATTTGGATCCCAAATTCCCAAAGGAAATCCCAAATTCCCGATTTTTCTGGGAATTTCCACCTGGAATTCCAGGAATTCCCAGTTTTTAGGGATTTATTGGGAAGGAATTCCCAAAAAATTCCAGGAATTCCCGGAATTCCCAAAAAATGGGATTTGGATCCCAAATTCCCAAAGGAAATCCCAAATTCCCGATTTTTCTGGGAATTTCCCCCTGGAATTCCAGGAATTCCCATTTTTTAGGGATTTATTGGGAAGGAATTCCCAAAAAATTCCAGGAATTCCAGGAATTCCCAAAAAATGGGATTTGGATCCCAAATTCCCAAAGGAAATCCCAAATTCCCGATTTTTCTGGGAATTTCCACCTGGAATTCCAGGAATTCCCAAAAAATGGGATTTGGATCCCAAATTCCCAAAGGAAATCCCAAATTCCCGATTTTTCTGGGAATTTCCACCTGGAATTCCAGGAATTCCCATTTTTTAGGGATTTATTGGGAAGGAATTCCCAAAAAGTCCAGGAATTCCAGGAATTCCCAAAAAATGGGATTTGGATCCCAAATTCCCGATTTTTCTGGGAATTTCCACCTGGAATTCCAGGAATTCCCAGTTTTTAGGGATTTATTGGGAAGGAATTCCCAAAAAGTCCAGGAATTCCAGGAATTCCAGGAATTCCCCAAAAAATGGGATTTAAATCCCAAATTCCCACCCAAAAAATCCCAAATTCCTGATTTTTCTGGGATAAAAAGCCCCCAAATCCCCCCAATTCCCACTTTTCCCATTCCCAGAATTCCCAGAATTCCCGGAATTCCCGGATTTACCGTCGGAGAGGGTGGTGATTTTCAGCTCTTCTGATGGAATTCCCAATCCCTGTCGATTGAAGGCTCGGAATTTTAAGGAATATTCGGTGAATTTCCGGAGGTTTTCCAAGCTGTGGGAATTGCCGGAGAATTCCAAGGTCTGGGAAAAAAAGAGGGGGAAAAAAAAGGGAATTTTGGGGTGGGAAATGAAGGAATTTTGGGGGGAAAATTCAGGAATTTTTGGAGGAAAATGAAGGAATTTTGGGAGGAAAATTCAGGAATTTTGGGGGGAAAAGGGGGGGAAAAAAAGGGAATTTTGGGGTGGAAAATGAAGGGGAAAAAAGGCAATTTTGGGGGGGAAAATGAAGGAATTTTGGGAGGAAAATCCAGGAATTTTGGGGGGAAAAAGAGGGAAAATAAAGGGAATTTTGGGAGGAAAAAGAGGGGAAAAAAAGGGAATTTTGGGGTGGAAAATCGAGGAATTTGGAAGGGGAAAAGAGGGGAAAAAAGGGGAATTTTGGGGTGGAAAATGAAGGAATTTTTGGAGGAAAAATAAGGAAATTTTGGAGGAAAATGAAGGAATTTTGGGAGGAAATTGAAGGAATTTTGGGAGGAAATTGAAGGAATTTTGGGAGGAAAATTCAGGAATTTTGGGGGGAAAAGGGGGGGGGAAAAAAGGCAATTTTGGGGTGGAAAATGAAGGGAAAAAAAGGGAATTTTGGGGTGGAAAATGAAGGAATTTTGGGAGGAAAATCCAGGAATTTTGGGGGGAAAAAGAGGGAAAATAAAGGGAATTTTGGGAGGAAAAAGAGGGGAAAAAAAGAGAATTTTGGGGTGGAAAATCGAGGAATTTGGGAGGGAAAAAGAGGGGAAAAAAAGGGAATTTTGGGGTGGAAAATGAAGGAATTTTGGGAGGAAAATCCAGGAATTTCGGGGGGGAAATGAAGGGAAAAAAAGGGAATTTTGGGGGGAAAAAGAGGGAAAAAAAGAGAATTTTGGGGTGGAAAATCGAGGAATTTGGGAGGGAAAAAGAGGGGGAAAAAAGGGAATTTTGGGGTGGAAAATGAAGGAATTTTAGGGAGGAAAATCCAGGAATTTTGGGGGGGAAAAGAGGGAAAATAAAGGGAATTTTGGGAGGAAAAAGAGGGGAAAAAAAGAGAATTTTGGGGTGGAAAATGAAGGAATTTTGGGGTGGAAAAATAAGGAATTTTTGGAGGAAAATCCAGGAATTTTGGGAGGAAAATTCAGGAATTTTGGGGGGAAAAAGAGGGGGAAAAAAAGGAATTTTTTGGAGGAAAATGAAGGAAAAAAAGGGAATTTGGGGGAGGAAAATCCAGAAATTTTGGGGAGGAAAATCCAGGAATTTGGGGGGGAAAAAGAGGGAAAATAAAGGGAATTTGGGGGGGAAAAAGAGGGGAAAAAAAGGGAATTTTGGGGTGGAAAATGAAGGAATTTTGGGGGGAAAATCCAGGAATTTTGGAGGGAAAAAGAGGGAAAATAAAGGGAATTTTGGGAGGAAAAAGAGGGGGGAAAAAGAGAATTTTGGGGTGGAAAATCGAGGAATTTGGGAGGGAAAAAGAGGGGAAAAAAAGGGAATTTTGGGGTGGAAAATGAAGGAATTTTGGGGAGGAAAATGCAGGAATTTTGGGGTGGAAAATGAAGGAATTTTGGGGTGGAAAAGGAAGGAAAAACCAATGAATTATTTTAAATAAATAGAATTTTCAAGGAATTCATCCCTAAAAAATCCCCAAAAAATCTGGGAATTCCCCACAAAAAAATCTGGGAATTCCCAAAAAAAATCCTGGAATTTCTCCCCCCCCCCAAAAAAAATCCAAAAATCCCCCAAAAATCAAAAAAAAATCTGAAAAAAAAATCCCCCCAAAATCCAAAAAATCGGGGAAAAAAATCCAAAAATTAAAAAAAAAACCTTAAAAATCTAAAAAATAAATAAATAAAAAAAATCCTAAAAAATTTCCACAAATCCCCTCCAAAAAATCCAAAAATCCCCAAAATTCCCCCAAAATTCAAAAAAAATCTGGGAATTCCCCCCAAAAAATCCTGGAATTTCTCCCCCAAAAAATCCAAAAATTCCCCAAAAAAATCCAAAAATCCCAGAAAAATCTAAAAATCTCCCCAAAATCTGAAAATCAAAAAAATCTGAAAAATAAAAAAAAAAATCTGAAAACCCACAAAATTCCCCAAAAATTAAAAAAAAAAAAAATCTGGCAATTCCCC